ATTCACAGATATAAAATATACTCTATTATCCAGCAATATAAAGACTACAAATTCGTTTTCCAGATGTTTAACCCTGTGATTAACTTTTATTTCCTATAAAACTCTTGAGTTAAAATTACTTTCCTAGCCTTACTCAATAGAAATATTAGTTCCATCTTTCTCATTAGTGAAGTTAGCATGTGGACATTGATTTTTACATCATGTCATGCCAGGTGAATCTGGAAACTTGCTTTCTTAAAGTAACGCTTACACAAACTTGTTTTTAAACATTTGCCTCTTGCTTATTAAGAAAGAAAAACTGTCACTGTTCATTTCCCAAGGCTGTGGGTCACATGGCTCCATTCATAAAAAATAGTACTGGATCAAGAGCCAAAGCAGCTTCTCCCGAATGAGGCTTTTCTCTTCTTGAAAAAGGAAGAGGGAGGGGAGTTTCTCCACAGCCCTGTCTGAACTGCCGTAGAGCCACCCAGCCATTCCGTAACTCCTCTTTCTCTAGACAAAGCTGGGTAAATTCCAAAGATCAGCTTGGGGTAGAGCACTTATCCAGCATGCATGGAGCCTGGGTTCTAACCCCAGCCTTGTAAAGAGTAATAATCATGACAAGAGAGGAAATTTTCAAGAGCTAATGACTGGCTATTTGGAGCTGTGTTAGTCAGTGTTCCATTGCTGTGAACAGACGCCATGACCACAGCAACTCCTAAAAAAGAAAGCATTTAATTGGGGGCTGGCTTACAGTTTAGATGTTTAGTCCATCTTGGCAGGAAGCATGGTGGCATGTAAGCAGACACGGTGCTGGACAGATAGCTGAGTTCTACATCTGGATCTGCTGGCTGCAGGAAGAGAGACACTGGGACGTGGCTTGGACTTTTGAGCCCTCAACGCCTGTCCCCAGTGACACGCTTCCTCCATCAAGGCCATTCCTCCTAATCCTTTTAAATAATGCCACTCTTTGTTGATTTGGCATTTAAATATAGGAGCCATGGGGGGCATTCTTACTCAAACGACCCCAGAAGCCATGTTAGTTTTATTGAAAACAGTATGATTGAGTTTTTATATTTTTAAGAATTTGGAGCCAGGCATAGTAACACACAACTTTAATTCTATCATTTGGTAGGCAGAGGCAGGCAGATCTCTGAGAGTTCAAGACTAACTTGATCTGAATAGTGAGTTCCAGGCTAGCCAAAGCTATATAGTGAAACTGTACTCAAAAATAAATAATTTTTAATGAATTTGGAGTGCTAGAGATGTACTTCATTAAAAGAGCATATGTGAAACCTAGGTTTGATCCCAAGCACCACAAGTCTATTGAGACTTGTGAACAATATTAGAAAAATCCCTCCCAGGTCTTTAAGTGGGAAGATACAAGAGGGTTTTTTGTTGCTATTGTTTTAACATGGATTGTTTGGTTTGACTGTTTAAGACAGGTTCTTATGCAGCACTGGCTGGCTTCAAATTCACTATGTACCCAAAGATAAGCTTCAAGTCCTGATCCTCCTGTCCCTACATTTGTGTCACCATGCACAGGTCACATGATGGATTGTTATTCTTTCTATACAGTGGAGGACATTCTGAATACAACATGATCTGGGCATCTCACCGTCTTTTTTCCAATATGATTTTACTGCAGCAAAGGGCTTTTCTAGTAATTGTTAAGAGGTTACCTATGCTATGGAGTAAACTATTAAAAATCTGCTGAGTAGTTTTGGAGAGTCACTTGTTAGCTCAGCAAAAGTGAAATTAAAATACTTGCTATTTTATGAAAGAAGAAAATTTGATTTGGATTCTTCTTAAAAATTTAACTTACTTATTTTAAAAATATTTTAAACTTTTATTTGTGTATATGTGTGAGAGAGACACAGATGCAAGAAGAGGGCGTCAGATGCCCTGGAGCCAGAGGTGAGGGCATCAGATACCCTGGAGCCAGAGGTGAGGCAGTTGTGAGCCACCTGATGAGCTTGCTGCCTGATTCTCGTCATCTGGAAGAGTAGCAAGTGCCCTTAACCACTGTGCTGTCTCACCAGCCCCCAAAGCTCAACTAATTTATAAATACTGTTTCTTGAGATAACTTGTAACCCTGGAGTTTAACAAAATTTTCATAGTCATATCTCAATATAACAAAGATTCTTTTACTTCAAATATTACAGTTCAAAAAACCATCCCCTTGTCATAGACACATGCAGTGCACTACACTAAGTGAATAGACATGGAGCGGGCAGGCCTGACTCCAGCATGTTAGGACTCCCGCTTTCCCCTGCAGGGTAGCATCAAGGTTACAGATGACAGTGAGTTATGAAAGCTTTGTCAGCCGTATAATCAATTTCATACATTTTAATTTTTAGGAAAACAGACAATGCAAGGTAAATTTTTTTTCTTTTTTGAAAACTGTAACAATTACATGATACTCTGGTCCACACATTGATATAACAAAAATCACTAATTATAAAATTAGGGTTCCTTAGTCTACAATGATCCTATAATCTTAGCATTCGGGAGGCAGGGGGATTGAGAGGTGGATCCCACCTGGGCTGCATAGTACAAGAGAGCTGGGGGTGTAGTGCAGTGGTAGAGCTTTCCAATCAGGAACAAAGCATTGATCTTTGACCTTGGCATTGTCTGTACTGTGTGTCAGGAGACATCTGTCCTTCTGTCTGTTCCCAGAGTCCCCTCTCGTGACTGCGTGTCTTTCTGGTTTAGACTTACATCCCACTTTTAGAAAATATCCTATCCATGATTCAAGTAAGATTGTTGATAAATAGAAGGGTTTATTTTCTCCTCTCTCTAATGCTTTGGCTCATTTTCCTTCAAAGTAAGAAAGTTACCTTTATTTCCCAGTGGTGTTGAGAACCATTTTTATCTGTAGTCTTTTGTAAAGCTTTCCTTCTCGGGGTTACTTCAGTTTCTTTTATCTGATATTCTTGGGACCATAAGCATTTTTATTTTTTATTTATTTTTTTAAATATTTATTTATTATGTATACAATATTCTGTCTGTGTGTATGCCTGCTGGCCAGAAGAGGGCACTAGACCCCATTATAGATGGTTGTGAGTCACCATGTGGTTGCTGGGAATTGAACTCAGGACCTTTGGTAGAGCAGGCAATGCTCTTAACCTCTGAGCCATCTCTCCAGCACCAGAAGCATTTTTAAATGTTGTTTATTTTCCCAGATTTTGGAATTTTTACATATATGTAATGAGATCTCGTGGAAGAGCCCAAGTCTAAAACCATTCATTCAGGTTTTATGTATATCTTATTCACATAGCCTGATAGTAATTTTACACGCATTTTTAATTTGCCTGTGTTTTGCCTGCAGCCCACCACGTAGTCAAGTGTAGAATCTTCCACTGGTGACACCATGCTGACCCTTTAAAAGTTTGACACTTTTGGAGCATTTCAGATTTTACATTAAGGAGTCCTCAAACTATCTTCATTACTTCTAGGAGTCTAAGGTTTTAGAATGATGTACTATTTAGCACACTCGTTGACTATGGAAACTCATCCCTCTGTTCTGAGGGGGAAAATACTGTTGAAGATAAAGACAGCACGTGGTATGGTGTTGCTTGGAAAGTTAGGAACAATTAGGATTTTATTTCTAAATGTATTAGTCTCTAACCAAACCACTTGATTGTTGCGGTTTTTAATATTCTGAAATTAAGAAACTTAGTCATAATTAGCATGTTGTGTGACTGATTTTTTGATACAAAGTCCAGCTTTCAGGTGAAAATATTTAGAAAAATAGGACCCTGCCTCTCAATTCCTGGCTTAACTTTTGCTTCACTTACAAACACTTAGGTAGGCTGGAGAGATGCCCAGAAGTTAAGAGGATTTATTGGTTTTGCAGCAGACCTACATTTGGTTCCCAGCAGGCTCACAACCACCTATGGCTGCAGTTTCAGGAGACCTGATACTCTCCAGCGTCCTCGGGTACCTGCATGCTCATGGCACACAATTCAAAATGACTAAAAACATGTTTTAGAAATACTTGCATAAATTCATTAAGAATTCTAGTATGTGTAGCCAATGAAATTTACCTGCTTGTTTTCAAATGATCAAGAATGTTAGAGTAGATCTGGAGAGATGGCTCACTGGTTAAGAGCGCTGACTGCTCTTCCAGAAGTCTTGAGTTCAATTCCCAGCATCCACATGGTGGCTCACAACCAACCATCTATAATGAGATCTGGTGCCCTCTTCTGGCTTGCAGGCAAAACCCTGTATACATAATGAATAAATCTTTTTTTAAAAAGAATGTATGAAGAGAATACCTCTAAAAACTGCAAAGTCTGATAATGATATCACTACTTACTGGAATTACTAGACAAAACTCATTTAGAAGTATGTACTTGGCATTCCTATTGCTCCGTGGTAATTGTTTACTTAATAGATTCTAAAAACTTTCAACTTGAAATTGTTGATATTTTAATCAGTAGAAATGGAAACAAGACAAGAAATAATACAGGTTATTAGTTCTAACTACTAGCTCATAGATTTGTAACTATCTCTTCTCACACAGAATTTATGAGAAATAAATTGTGTTGTGAAATAAGAAAAAGAAACTGAAAGTCAGATGTGATGACACATGACTTTAATTCTAGCATACAATTGGGGGAAGAGGGAATGCTGTAAGGTTAAGGCCAGCCTGGGCCGTACAGAGCTTTCCGGTCGGCCAAGGCTACATTGCAAGACTTTGTCTCAGGAAACCAGTAAAAGAAAAATAGGGGACGGATAAATAAGCACAGGTATACTGCAAAACTGTGAACTATTCCTATCCAAGCATTATTATGGCTGAGAGAGGACATACTGAAATTCCGCTATGAGAAAGGAATCCATTATGTTGCCTCCTTGGTATGAGGAAATATATCCCAATGTGGTGGAGCAATGCATTAACGTGGGCACAGGACACCTGGGGCTGCCTGGCAGTATGCATCCCTCCTTCATACTGACTGCTTTCACCTTGTGTCCAATAGGTGAGCAGGTTACTAATGACTTCCTTCTTTCTTTCTTAGATTCATCCAGAAAGCACCCAGAAGAATCTTCCTGTCAGAAAAGCTAAAAATGCGGTATTTATAACACTGGGAGTTGTAAGTAATTTGTTTAAAATGGCTGAAAACAATAGTAAAAACGTAGATGTCCGGCCTAAAACAGGCCGCAGTAGAAGCGCTGACCGAAAGGATGGCTATGTGTGGAGTGGAAGGAAGCTGTCCTGGTCCGGAAAGACAGAGAGCTGTTCTGAGTGGGAGACCATAGATCCTGAAGAGAAAGCCAGAGCTCCTCGAAGGAGCCAAGAAAGGGACAGCTGCTCGCCCATTGACTTGGACTTAGACAATTCCTGTGGGCATAGATTTTTAGGCCGGTCCCTTAAACAGAAGCTGCAGGATGCTGTGGGGCAGTGTTTTCCAATAAAGAACTGTAGTGGTCGGCACTCTACAGGGCTTCCGTCTAAAAGGAAAATTCATATCGGTGAGCTCATGCTAGACAAGTGCCCGTTCCCACCTCCATCAGATTTAGCCTTTAGGTGGCATTTTATTAAACGACATACTGGTCCTGTAAGTCCAAAATCAGATGAATGGGTGAGCACAGACTTACCTGGGAGTAAACTGAGGGGTGCTCAGCTAAAACGAAGAAACATGGAAGAAGACATGCCCTGTTTTTCACATACTAGTGTTCAGCCTTGTGTCATAACTACCAACAGTGCTTCGTGTAGAGATGGTCACATAACTGGCTCTTTGATGAACTTGGTCACAAATGACAGCATAGAAGATAGTGATATGGATTCAGAAGATGAGATCATAACACTGTGCACAAGCTCCAGAAAAAGAAACAAGCCCAGGTGGGAAATGGATGACGAAATCCTACAGTTGGAGGCACCTCCCAAGCACCACCCCCAGCTGGAATACGTTCACTGCCTTGTACCAGACCTCCTTCAGATCAGCAACAACCCGTGCTACTGGGGCGTTATGGACAAATACGCGGCCGAAGCTCTGCTGGAAGGAAAGCCAGAGGGCACCTTTTTACTTCGAGACTCAGCACAGGAAGATTACCTATTCTCCGTTAGTTTTAGACGCTATAGTCGTTCTCTTCATGCTAGAATTGAACAGTGGAATCACAACTTTAGCTTCGATGCCCACGATCCATGTGTCTTCCATTCTCCTGACATTACCGGGCTCCTAGAGCATTATAAGGACCCAAGTGCCTGTATGTTCTTTGAACCACTCTTATCCACTCCGCTAATCCGGACTTTCCCCTTCTCCTTGCAGCATATCTGCAGAACAGTTATTTGTAATTGTACAACTTACGATGGCATCGATGCCCTTCCAATTCCTTCTCCTATGAAACTGTATCTGAAGGAATACCATTACAAGTCCAAAGTTAGGTTACTCAGGATTGGTGTGCCCGAGCAGCACTGACGGAAAGGCTAGGAGTGTGGACTTGCAGGTGGATTTTCATTTATTCTTATTTTTCTTATGCCTCTTTGAATTTTTCTACAAAGGCAGTTAGAATCCAAAATAAAACTACCCTAAATTTTAATTCCAGATTAGTTTATTTTCTTATGATACACTTGTTATATATTTTTAAGCGAGTTTTTTTTTTACTGTGTAAATTGTATATTTTCTCCTTAATTTACATATGGTCTGGGCATATTGAAATTTCAAGGCATTGCAAATGCATTTAAATATTGTGATTTTTTTTTTTAAAATAATCTTCTGCTCTTCCCTGCATGTGAAATGCTTTGCTAATCTATGCTATCGGTATTCTTGTATGACAGAATAGTTACCTTTCCCACTTTGATTTTAAAATTCCTCAGTAAAGATGAATGTTGTAGTCCGTCCATGACAATGTAATGGCAAATAGGAGTGGTAGGCAACAAAATGGTTTAAGATGAAACTTAATGTGTCTCCTTTTTAAATACTACCTAGAACAGGTTGTTTGTTTTTTAATTTGGCCAATGGAAAGAGAGAATGTTATGTTCTAGAAGTGCATTTGTTCTGCACTTCATCAGCAGGATCATCAATAAATCCAAACACAGCAGCCACTCAGCCTGGAAGAGGTGACTGATATAATGTAGCTTGTGTTCCTTTCTTACGGAAGCTTTACAAATAAAATAGCATTATTAGAAACTTGGAGTTGCCAAGGCAGCTAGAGTTTTTCTGTATTAATTTGTGGGCTGTCACATCTACTTAGCTCTTTCCTAGGAACTCTGGTTCCTATGGGAAATACCGTTTCTAAACAGCTCCCATATCCACCAGTAACAAAGAGACCTGAATAGTTTCTCATTATTTGAAACTGACCTTAAGTACAAATGCAAGCAAAAAACATGGTTCAATATTTAGGAAGTTTAATATTCATTTTGGTCTTCACAACCTAAATAATGATTTCTGTCTTCAGACCTAACATGTATTTTACGTGGCTTCAAAAGGGGGAAGACATGGCAATAGCTTCACGACATAACGTACTGGACAGGAGGGCAAAATAATATTTCACATTTACTATCGTAAGGGCAGCACAGCATTTTAGGACCATCACTGGCCTGAAGTAACCAGTAAGAAAGACAAGCAGTCTGTGCCCTATTTATCTACTTGGTGACAGACCTACACAGATCGCCCAGAGGTCCTTGTGGTAGGCTGTTGGAATACTGTGTTATTTATTTCGTGTGTGTGTGTGTGTGTGTGTGTGTGTGTGTGTGTGTGTGTCTGAGTGAGAGTGACAGTATCTCTCCATTAGCCTAGGCTGACCTCCGATTGGGGACTGACAGCCTGAGTTTTACAGGTTTCTTTTTCTTGCTTTCCAGTTCCTTATTTCCTTTCTCTTTTTTTTTTTTTGTTGTTGCTTTTTTAAATGTTTTGGTTTTTGTTGTTGTGTAGATTATTTTATTTTTGTTTGTTTAAAATAGAGCTTCTCTGTGTAGCCCTGGCTGACCTGTAGCTTGTTGCATAGACCAGGCTGCCCTTGAACTCACAGAGATCCTCCAGCCTCTGCCTCACAAGCACTGGGATTAAAGATATGCATGACTTCGCCTGGCTAGTAATTGATTTTTTTGATGCTAGTTCTGCTGGATTAGAAAACTTGCTTCAGGCTGTATTGAAAGAACATTGACTCCTAAATTCCAAGTCAGAACAAATGTTTCTTGCTGGTATACCACCTCTAATCCCAGCACTTAAGAACCAGAGGGATGAATATTGCTGCAAATGTAAGCCAGTTAGAGCTGTATGGGGAGAATTTGTCTCAAAAAATTTTTTTTCCTTAATTCTTGTTGTATAATATGTTAAAGAAACTTTTTCTGATCTTGAAGGACTGTTAATGTAAAGAAAACATTCTTCGGTATTGTTTTATTGGTCATGGTAGTTCATCCCTGTATTCCCAGAACTTGGAAGACTGAGGCAGGAGGATTCCCATGTGTTCTGGAACAACCTAGGCTACAGAGTGAGACCCTGTTTCAATACCCCCCCCCCAAAAAAAACCCAACCTAATAGCTTCAAATTTTTCAACCATTACAAAATTCATGTGTGGGAAATCTGTTACCATTCTCTTCTAGAATTTTTTTCCTTAGCGGTCTAAAGATGGTCTGGATCTATGAGAGGTAGCCACTCAAGACATGCCTCTTACAGATGTAATGAGCCTCAGGCTGTGGACACTTGTGGGGTGACTGCATACCCTCTAAAGATGCTGCCCTTCCTAGAAGTGGAGTCTCCGACTACCTCACCTTTGCTATGGCACTTTTGTAGTTGCTGAGATGATGCTCCTCTTACTAACTGGTGTAGCATTTCCTAAGTCTCCTTCTCTGGTGGCAGAATCTATAGTGTGGGAAGACTCCACTCACGCTCACAGCTCCTTATCAGAATCTATAGTGTGGGAAGACTCCACTCACGCTCACAGCTCCTTATCAGAATTTGTAGACCTGTTGCTGTGAAACAATTATTTTTAATATTTTTCTTCTAAAAGTAACTTTTTATCAGTACAGAACTATCTAAGGGATGACTAGCTTATTCTGTTAAAAGGTAGTTTTATAAAGAAAAGTAAAATATAATCATGTCTTTTATAGTGGTAAAATTAGTGTTTATATGAAAGTCAAGATTTGATTATCTTTTAATATACTTCAGACTGATTGCTTATGATATATTTTCTCTGACTTCTATTCTTTTCAATTTCAAGGTATTAACAGCTGTCAATATTTTCAAAATACTGCCATATGTGTAGCTTTGAAGTGTGTATTAATTGAGGACAGGAGAGACTCCTGTTCTCTGAAATGTTTTGTGTTTCCTTTGGCACTACAACGAAAAGAAACTGGACAGCAGAGACACGGAAGGACTTGAGAACTGTCTCCTGTGAAGGAAAGAAGAGTGACAAGAAAAACAGGGAGCCGGGGTCTAGAGAAATGACCCACTTTCCCGTGTTTGTAAAGAACAGCAGAACTTAGAAACTAACTCATGACAAAGGTTAAAATGTATTTACGACTTAAATAGCTAAAAATGAATAAATTTTATGAAGTACCCAAAGAAGTCTAAATTAAATGGAAATGTAACTCTTAACTTGACTTTTGAAACATTCGAATAGTGTCAGTTATAGCCGAAAAAGTGTCCAGTGCAGGACTTGATGCGCACACCTTTGATCCCAGCACTCAGGAGACAGAGGCAGGCAGGTCCCTGAGAGCTGAGTAACAACCTGGTCGACATAGTGAGTTCCAGGCCAGCCAGGCTACATAGTGAGACCGCCTTAAAACAAAAAGGAAAAAGAAAGAAAGGCAGTCGGTATGGTGGAAATGTGTAGTTTATTTGTGAGAGAAGATGGAACTAAAAGAAACAACAAAATATTAAAATTAAAAATGTAGGCATTATCTCAGGGAAACGCCTTGCCAGTGAAAGGGAACTACTTTCTCACTAATAGCTCTCTGGACCAGACGCCACTACCTTGGGAATCATCTTGCACAACCAGAAGGTGAACTTGACTTTTCCATCTCTCTTGAGGCTTTTCAGGACAGACCCATCTGCTCGTTGTTTAAACTACATCTTGAGTCATGCTGTGATTCCTGCAATAATGCTGAATGCATTCTTTTTAGTTTCCCTGGGTGTTTTTCCATGAAGAGTTATATGTTTATATGTGATCTTTCTGATACATAACCATGTTATTGGCCTAAATAATTATATGGCGAGAATATTAATTTAAAGAGGACCGGATAGGAATATTAGAGGAAGCTTTTAGTCAGCCTGTGGCTAGATTTATTGATTTGGTGAACAAGCCTGTATTCTTTGCTGACTTTCAGCTAATGGTGAACTGTGGTCAAAGAGTGGCTTTCACTTAATGTTTTGACTTATTACAAAGAAGATAAAGAATGTTTTAGTGATTAGAAATCCTTTAAAACGTAGAACAAATGTGCAAATAAGACTCATCATCTTTTTATAAGAAAAACACATAAGCCTTTATCATTTATTCATGAGCTAAAGCCATTAAGCTAAATCAAATTATCAACTTCCTGTCTCTGGAGTTTGGTCGTTTTATAGATCCACATAGCAGAGCACTTCTTTCCTGTGAGACAGATGTTTTGAGATCTCTTACTCTCTTTCATTAAAAGTATTTGTCACTTTTAACTATAATCAGAATCCAGGAGACAAGCATATTTTTATTTTGGCAGGGCAAATTTCACAAACTATAGACTTAATTATAAGACAATTCTGAAAACAAAACAATGATAAAAAAAATTTTTAAAAAAAAGCTCATTTAGCCAGGTGTGGTGGTGCCCACCTTCTTCAGTCCCAGCATTTGGGAGGCAGAGGCAGGTGGATCTCTGTGAGTTCCAGGCCAGGGCTACCTTGTGAGAGCCTGACTCAACAAAAAAGGAAAGAAAAGAAAAAGAGAAAGGAAAGAAAAGGAAAGGAAAGGAAAGGAAAGGAAAGGAAAGAAAAAAAGTAATAGTTATCCAAAGGAAAGGGCCTGTGACAAAACTAACCCTGAGATAGTGTTTCTAGTTATAGTTGTGAAGGGATTAGTCAATCCTAAGTCCTCTTTTGTCTTACTGTCCTGTGAAATGTAGGTAATGGTCCTATCCCTTGGTTTCCTGAACGTTCATTCAGTAAGAGGTGTCCCTTGGAGCATAGTTGAAAATAATTGCAAGTAGCTATTCAGTACTAATCGAGAATGATCAGTTCTCAAAATAGCACCTTTGTGGAGCATACAAAAATCATTCACTGAATCTGTAATAGGTCTTCTTGACTTGATCTGACAGTGGAAATAACAGAACAATTTGGGTCTATGGTTCAAACTCTACATTTAGATGATTGCAATTTCCTCCTGCCTTTCATAAGGTCTGTGTAAACGGATGTTCGCCTTATTTGATTACATTTGCAGGAATAAAGATAATTTTTGCCATGGCTATAAATCAAATCTAAGCTTTCAGACTTGAGCCATGGTGTAAAACTCTGATCAGTTTTGTATTAGCCAAGTATGAACTATATATACTTGAATATACAGAGCCTAATGATTTAATAAAGCTATGTTGTCAGTCATGATGTATGACCCATACTAGCTCCACTTTCTAATCTTGACAAACATTTGTGTGTGAGTTTAAAATTTTTAATCTAAATAAAATTTTGCTTAATTAAATCTTCATATATAAAATCCAAAAGTGTTGTTCTTGTTTTTTTTTTTTTTTTTTTTTTTTAAGATGTGTGTTGTGTGTTAAATTCAGGAGCGTACCTTGATACACTTAGGAGGGTCAGAGCACAACTTTTTGCAGGCTGGTTCTCTTGTGGTTTGACTTTGAGACAGGGTCTCTCCTTATTTGCATCCAGCCTCACCAGGGGAGTGCTGGAGTTACAGCTGCTGGCCACAGCATCTAGGGTTTCACATGGGTTTAAGTGATCCTATTCAAGTGGTCAGGATTTTCTGGCAATCACCTTTACCTGCTAATCCAAAACCTTGGCCCTAGCCTTGTGGTTTTATTTTTCAGCTCTTTGTTATTATTGGGACCTGGAAGGCAGGGAGTGGGAGGGCCGAAGTCAAAGGATAATTTATGGAGTTACTTATCTCTACCTTTACCTTCTTCATTCCAGGGGTCAAACTCAGATTGCCAGGCTTGGACAGCAAGCACTTAACCGACTGAGCCACATTTCCACTTTTTAAAATTGATTTCAAAAGCATTTCTACCTTTGAATGAAAAAGAGGACATGATCATTCCTAGTTCCTGGTTGATGGAAGGGGTTTTACTGTAGATACGAAGGTGAGAATTTCCAGAGGCATCTGGAAGGGTCCAGACTTGTAGCAGACTTTCTTGAACTGCCAGCCCCCAAATCATGGCACAGAAACTTATTATGAGAGCTTGGCCTTAGCTTAGGCTTGTTTGTACCCAGCTCTTCTAACTTAACCCATTCCTGTTCATCGACGTGCTGCCACATAGCTCATGGCTTTCACCTCTCCTGCATATGCTGCTCCCCACACACACCTAGATTCATCTTTTCTCTGCTCAGAAGCTCCGCCTTTCCTTCTCCCGTCCAGCTACTGTCCATTCAACTCCTCGGCAAAACACATTTCCACAGTATATAAAAAGATTATTCCACAACACAAACTGAACTGGACCATGGGGAATGGACCAAGAGAAGAACCGAGGACCAAACGGCCAAGAGCAGGAGACCAAGAGAGTATTTAGTCAAAATGGCAGGAGTTATATAGGTACCAGAGGCTGGGGGAAGGGAAGCCCAGCCACTGGGCTGGAGAGGTTTAGGGTAGGAGGCAGGATGAGAAGGACTGGGAAGAACCACAAGTTCTGAGTGAGACTTGTCCCGGGTTTCATTGGGACCTGATATATATTCAAATCAAAAGAAGTCTGGAAAGGAAAAACTTAAAAATTACAGATACGTTGCTTTCTGGTATACTAGTTTTGAATCCACAAGAAACAGAAGCCAGTAATGCTGCAACCCACTTCATGCTGTGGTGACCCCCCAACCATAAAATTACTGTCATTGCTACTTCATAACTATAATTTTGCTGCTGTTATGAATTGTAAATATCTGATATAGAACCCTGTGAAAGGGTCATCCCTCCCCCCCCCTCACCAAAGTGATTGCAACCCACAGGTTAAGAACCAGTGTTTTCAATTTAAGACTTAAGAGATGACTCATGCTGGAGCCGTTTTTGAGGGATGGTAGCCCCAAAACACAGATTTAGGTTACCTGAAGTTCCATGTTCCAAGGGAACCAGCATCACAAAGTTATAGTTTTACAGAACAGAGAAAGTCATAAATCAAGGCAAGTTTAAAATACACTGGTGGATACACTTGAGAGACGGTTACATCCAAGACCAAGTTTTTCTATAGGTCTAAGATGCTATCTGATGACATACTCAGCTTTTGTACTGGGAGATGCTAGTGGCCTCTTAAAACGTTCTGAAAGGTTTTTAATCTATTGCCACAAGATGTTAGTTTTGATAGAGTGGGCAAGTGTTACTATCCAGTCATTTACTGGTCTTCTCTGAGGGACCTAACAGAATATGTCAGCAGAAACAGCCAAGATGTAACACTAGCTGCTATAGCCACTAAGTAAAGCACTCTCCCTAGACACGTGCTCTTTCCTTCTGCTCTCCTTCCGACCTCTGCACCCGCCCCGCCCCCCATACACCTCCCACATGAGCTCTGTTGCACTGTGTGACTTTGTGGTATAGGGGGAAAGGGCCAGCCAAAGAAAACCTCCTGGTCCTGAAACCAGAGCCAGTGAAAGAAATACTTTAGTCACAAACCCAGAACCAAAGAAATACACCCTGACCCTGAAACCAGTGCTGAAGAAACACTGGCCCTAGAATCAGAGCTAATGAAAGAAATTGGCCCTGGCCGGGAAATCAGGGCCAAAAAGCTAAAAGCCCTCTCTTGCCTGACTGGGGAAACCTTTCCCTAGAGCAGGGCTGTAAACTGTTCCGCTTTCTGTGACCTGTGCTATTCCCTGACCCCTGACTGCCAGAATACTTTTCCACGGAGCTGAAACACTCAGTATTTCCTGACCCCCTGACTGCGAGGATCCCTTTCCCTCTGAGCCACAAAGCTCCAACCCACCAAGGTCGCCTACTGCAGCTAAACTAGTACAGCAAGGAAGAGCCGCTGTTCTGGAGAGCTAGCCCAAGATAAGCTAATTAGCATATGGCAACATTCCAACCTTCCAGGCCACTGAAATTCCAACTAGCCACTTAGTCTCTGTGGCCATAGATTGCATTCAAAAGCTTTCATTCACAACACCTTTGGAACGTTTTCCCCCTTCCCTTATCTTTTTACCCTCAATTTTGGCTGGACTGTGACTGCCAGCTTGGAATTTGGCTGCAAAAACCGCTGAGTGTAGGGAGTCCAAAATCGGCTTCTAGTCACGGGCTTGCTTTGAGCATCACCAGCAGGCCAACAGGTTTTCTGAACTCAGGAAAACACCCCAAGCTCCTGGAGCCACGCGGGCCCGCTTGCAATCTCGTGGACTGCCGGCTGGGGGCGCCGGGCGGCTGGGCGGGGCAGGCGGAAATAAAGGGGAGCCAGGCGGGCCTCCGCACTTCCCTTTCCGGTTCCAGGAGGAGCCGCGTCGGTGCCGCCTTGGTCCGTCAGGCCTCTGCTCATCTCTCTTGATTCAGCACCGCTGCTGTGCCGCGCCTAGGGCTCGGATCCCGCCGGGTGAGTCTGCTACGGCGCCCACGGGAGATAGGGCGCGGGGCTGGCGGGAGACGGCGCGAAGACGCGGGGTCTCGGGGCCTGGCGGCTCTCGAACCTTCGGCGGCCGAACGCTTCGGAGAATCCTCCGGGGACCAGGCGACCGAGGGGGCTAATGGAGCGCCGGTCGGTTCCGGGGGAACGCCCACGTCATGCCGGACTTGGGGAGTAGGGCTGGAGCGGGCGACCCTCCCCCACGCTCCCGCCGGCGCGACCCTCTGGGGGGGGGGGCTCCTTCGCTCCGGTGGATCCCGGGTTCCCTTTGTTCGCTTAGCCCTAAAGGGCATCTTGTCTGTCGCCCCTCACCCCTTGCCCCACCGGATCCCAGCCACTCCTTTCTACTCCAAACGCGATGGAGGAGACCCGAATTTGCCTTTACAGGAAGGAAGGTCTGGCGCCTGAAAATTCTGTGTGACAAGGTTCTCGCAGTTCGTAATTACCCATTTGTTAAATGACTGCCCGGGACAGAATGTGCCAAGGGCTGAGTAACGTTCTCCCTGTGGAAGATTTAGGCGCAGATAGAACGCTTCTCTGCCTTGAAAACCGAAAGTAATGTTTTCACTAATCCTCGTGTTGCCTCAAACCAGACCCCATCCTCGACGTTACAGCCTACTACAGGAGTACAGACGTGTGCCCCCGCTGTGCTAAAGGCCTGTTTTGAAGCCAAACCCTCATTACCAGGGTCGCCATCGAAAGTCTTTGTGTAGTGGCGTTTCTTGGGGGGGGGGGGGGGGGGGGGGGGGGGGGGGGGGGGGGGGGGAAGAGTCGTTTTCTTGGCCATGATGTGTAGGAGCCACTCCGACAAACTGGTTTGCTTCATGAACTTTCATGCAGTTGCAAAAGTTTGGAATGTTCCTTTTGATTACAGAAGGAATCACGACGTCCATCGTCATTCTCTCACTGAGGTTGAGGCTTGCTTGGGGCCAGTATGCTTAGGAATTCACAATCTTCAGATTCTGTAATTTATAGACTGTTATTTCAGAGGAGAGGTGACACCCCAAGACTCGGGGGGCTGATATTTGTACAGCCTGTACATTATTGATATTTGTACAGGCTGGGCCTGTAGTTGAGTAATTGAGCACGGCCCTGGCCTGCTGTGAGGCCCTGAATTCAATCCTCAAAGCTTGAGGGAAGGGGAAAAACGGGTATTCAGTTATAGCTGGGGGTGGATGGGAAATGAAGTGGATAGTGTCAGGTCAGCTTCTGTCACCCAGTGAGTTTTGTGCGGTGCTTAGGAGATTGCAGTTTCTATGCTTTCTAGTTTGGAAATAGACAAAAAGGTGTGTGGTCATGTTGTAGCGGTTGTAAAAGCTAACGTTTATTCCGGTTTTGACTGCCAGGCAGTGATTATTTATAGATTTATTTAATTAAGCCTCAGCAAATCTCTGAAAAATACCCACTTACCCTCGTTTATGAGACTCAACGAACTGGATTTGACCAGCAGCCCTGCAGGCCTCTACTCCTCTACCTTTGTGCTACCTTTGTGCCGTGTGTCAGTATGTGAAAGAGAAGAGGGCGTGGAGAGTTAGAACAAGTTAAAAGCATGCACTGTTTTGGGGAAGTCTTCTGTTCCTAGCGTTCACACGAGGCAGCTCCCAACTGCCTCTGGGAAATTCCCAGTAGCTTCCTTGGGAACCTGCATTAGTGAACAAACCCATAACATTTTTTTTTTAATTTAAAAATAGCAGGAAGGAACATTGGCTTGTTGCTTGTCTGCTATTTCCCAAGCATTGCTTTAGTTGCTTGGTCAGATGGAGTCCTGTTTAGTTCCCACGTAGCATTATTGACTCGTTCTAAATACATGAAGACACTGAAGTTGACTCAAGTCATCGGTAAAGTGTTTGGATCCTTGTCTAGACGCCTCTCCTAAAATCTGTTGTTGCTTTCTTTCTGTGTTCCGACCAGTCTGAACTGCTGCTTTCTTTCCCACAGACTGTTCATTCTCCCTCCCAGATTTACAGACT